TGAGTATTCTGTGATCTCCACCAGTCAAAACATAACCTCACTTCGAGGTAAAACGACAGCACGAGACTGATGGAAAATGTATAACTGAACAGTTACACAAAGTAACGCATCACACAAGCGCCAGTGAGACGCAACTCCGTCAAAAACCAAATCACAAACACAAGATGGTGATGACCCGAGAGTTGTTCTCCTATTCAGACCCGAATTGCGATTGATGTGATAGCATTAAGAAACGCAAGGCTATATACAGATGTTAATGGTTAACGTGTTGTATCAATGACATCAGTGTTGCCAATTTGTCGTTTTTCCCGTCCAATCTGACTTTCGTGAAATGGAAATTGCGGGAAAAAAATGCGTTTTAGCGGGAAATTTCAAGATTTTTATAACAAGCGTTTGGATATTTCTAGCGTTTTTTCCCAAGTCAAATTCTTTGTAATAAACATTGTATATAGTCTAGATACTTGACTTGAGACTAGTCTATAGTATCTAGTCTTTATTCTCCTTTATAGTTTAGTTTATAGTCTAGTCTATAGTTTAATCTAAAGTCTAGTCTATATTTTATATTTATTTGGTAAATTACAAAATTTCCTTTTGCGAAAATACAAATCTAGCGGGTTTTTGTGACATAGTTTAACGGGAAATGGTAGAAAAATATTGGCAACACGTACCTCCAGTACTGGAAGTTAGAGAATGTCATTGGTTCGAAAGGTCCTACCCTAGTTTGATGCCGGTAGTATATAATCCGTCTAGCAGGTATGTTCAGAGTAAACCCTGTTCATACCGAATTCCGCAGTGTGGCACTGTGAATAAGAACCACGTCTCGGCTTATTTGATGGATTCGTACTTCGGTCTACCGGTTACGACTATAGGTGCTGTTGCCGACTCAACAGAGGCCATCCTATATCCGTGGTTGTAAACGGAAGTTATGTTTTTGCAAGGCAAGGCTATTCTACTCTGAATATTCAAAGGACTGCATAGATGACATTGTCCAAGCTATACTTCGTATACTATGGCACTTAATAAAACTTTTTGTGAAATTTATTATTAAATCTGTTAAATCTGTTGATTGCAGAGTCGATTCGCGCCAAGAAAACTTTATTGTTCGAGTTGTACTGCAAGTAATTTGGGAAGTACTGCCTAGAAAAAGTACTTACTATTACAACATACGAACTTCTCTTTATTCTATTCTCTATTCTTTCCTGTTTTTTATTTTTTTTTTTTATTTCATTTCCCACATTTGTGCAGGGCTGCTGACGTGCCAATAAGGCATAGTCACTCACAATTTATATGAGGCGGTAAAACTTTATTATTTTAACTGCAAAAAGGCAGATCGTCAGGATATAAATAAAACTTATGTAGAAACAAACATACATACATACATACATACATACATACACATATAAGTCTAAGTAGATATGTATAGTGTGTGTGTGTGCATTTGCAAAGTACTTGTATGAATTGTATTTATACCCTACACCACTTTAGTGGGGAGGGTATATTGGATTTGTGCTGATGTTTGTAACATACAAAAATATTCGTCCTAGACCCACCTTAAAGTATACCAATCGGCTTAGAATCGTTTTCTGAGTCGATTAAGCTATGTCCGTCCGTCCGTCCGTCCGTCCGTCCGTCCGTCTGGCAGGCTGGCTGGCTGGCTGGCTGTCCATGTAAACCTTGTGCGCAAGGTACAGGTCGCAATTTTCAAGATAATTGGATGAAATTTGGCACGCACGTTTTGTTTGACCCAAGGACGAAGCCTATTGAAAATGGTTGAAATCGGTCCATTATTTCACCTAGCCCCCATAGAACAGAACCCCCCGAAAAGGGCCTTTGAGCTCATAATTTTGTTAAATTTACAGATATATCGATAAAATGCGGCACAACTAAGTTTTATAGAAGTCTGGATGACCCTGCCAAATTTCATAAAGATCGGGCCCCATTTGACCCTAGCTCCCATACAAAGTCCCCTTCAGAAAATTACTTGAATGTCCCAAATTAACTTATAAACACAAATATCGCGATGAAATTTAGCACAATAAAATATTATGTAAATATAAATATATTCACAAAATTTTATCGGGCTTGGTCCATATTTGCCCCTAGCCCCCATATAAAGCCTCTTTCAGAAAATTAGATTTTCATCCATAAATTGCTTAAATGTATCGGAACAAGGGAATATTGAAGATAAATGCTTTATTATGAAAAATAAATCACATTTAATATTCATAACTGGTGTAGGGTATCATATGGTCGGCCACGCCCGACTATACTTTCTTACTTGTTTTTGAAATAAAATCTAAAAGAACTTATAAACATGTGTCGTTCCACAATCATGTATGAATGTTGTAATAATACGACAAAGGGGAATGTCGATGATTTCGACAAGGACTCTTTTTTCTTACAGCAACTTACCAAATTCAACAAGCAATAGAATTTTGAAATTTATTATATTTAACATAATTTTCAAAAACTTCAGTTTATTTGTACTCCCTTAGTTTTATTTTGCATATTTTTTTCATCATTTCAATTCACTTACAAATACGTATGTATGTAGGAATCTTTAGAACGTTTATCAAAAAATTTATTTATATTTTTGATAATCATATTCAAACAAAGAAAAGACGATTTAATTTTATTGGTTTTTACATAAATAACAGTTTTTTTCCTCAGGATGCCACAACAAAAGAAAAGTGTATTTAAAATATTCATATGGAAAACGATAAAATTGACATCTTGATGAAATAGAAAAATAATTGAGTCACGTTTTAAGATTTTAATTTTTTACTTAAAATTTATGTGGCCATTAAAACTAATGAAATTTTATGACATTTTCATTCAGTGTTTTCCATTATTTTAAACAAAATACAATCGATGAACTTACATAAATGTATTGAACTACAAACATACGTACATGTATGTTTGTATATAAAATTGTTTACACGATTATATCCTTTAATATATTTGTATTCGTATGTAAACCATGTGTGTTCAAAAATGTTTTACGCTTGTAAAATTGAATTCTTAAGGGTGCATTCGATTTAGGGAAATATTTAGAAAGAAGAAATGCTTGAAAGTTAATAACAAATATTTTATTGGGTTGAAAAAACAAACCTTCAGTACTTTAACTATTTATTCCATTTTTATAGTATTCCACTATTTTAAACGCATTTTAACATTTTAAAAATTCTCTGATAAAAATTATAATAAAAGAACTTTTACAAAACATTTATTTTGTTTGTAAATTTTTTTTAACAATAAATTAAAGAAATTTTGTATTGAAAAATGTTCGATCCTTGATAGTTTGGAATACCAGATAACTCTCTAATATTTTAAACTATTAGTCAACTTGAGAGTTAGAGTGAACACTGTAATTTTTTTTCTCCTAAAATTTCTTTTTCATCGCATTAATACCTAGTCCACATCTAATATGGAAACATCATTTGCGTACTTTCCACCAGAAGCGGATTCATCGGAGGAGCTTAGACAATACTTCTCCTTGTGCGGTGACACAGTCTAGAATAATGTTCCTCTCCGTAGCTTCGCGTAGTTCTCGCGTAGTTCTCATTAGATCTCTCCTCCATATAAACATTTTGTGATGCTGATAGGAGGTTAGGATCAATATTCTTATATGCAAGTATATTAATAATACATTCTCGAAGGAATGAAGATAGACTGTTTGGTCTAAAATACCTCCTTGGGAGAAATATATAGCTATAGCTATATAACTATTTGGAACTATCTGCTAAGAACAATAGGATATAAGTTACATAGATGAAAAGAAACACATGTTTGGAAAAATGTCAAACTTTAACCCACTTTAACTCAGGGTGTTCTTCTTGTGGAAAATTGTTTATAAATTACTATCCAATAGGACTTGCTGCAAATTTCATCCCGATCGGAAGACATAGTGATGAAAAATCCCCGATATATAAGTCCGTCATTCTGAGATATATTCACCATTGATGTAAAAGATAAAAAAAGTATAAAATATAAATGATGACAAAAAAGTAATATCAAACTACTACAGGCAGTTTAGCGTACATGTTGCTTGGGTATAACTTTTGTCATGTGTACTACTTCAACCAAAGCTCTGGAAACGTTGCTAAATATTTCATCCATTGAAACATATTTAAGATATGAGGCGGCGTTTACAGCCGAACGTCTCTTTACTATAGGCGAACTGGCCAAAAGCGGTTATAGGACACGTCATCAATGTATACTGGACACATTGTAAGGTTATGCAAAATCATCGGACAGACACAGAATATGTCGGAAACTTTGAAACGCTGATACCAGATAGAATGTCTTGGTCAAACGGAAAACTAGTTCAAATATCAGTAGGAATCCGTTGTTACACGGATAGCTCTAAATTGGGGGATAAAGTGGGCCTGGGGTTCTATATTGAAGACCCAGAAACAGAAATATACCACCGCTTAACTAATCATAACACAAACTTCCAGACAGAAGTCCGAGCAATAACGGAATGTGTAAATTGGATTAGAATAAATATGTCACCCACAGCCCTAAATATATTACCGACAGCCAGAAGACAATTTGGACAATATCAGGAGATTAATCAGGAGAATTAAATCTGGAAACGTTGGATTGTAAGAAAGCTTCAACTGATTACTCTCCCAGAGGTAAGGTTTACATCATATGGGTACCAGGCCACTCGGGAGTAGTCGGCAACGAAAGGGCGAATGTAGTAGCTTTAAAGGGAAGGGGCTCGAGGTAGTTAACCTGACGAACGCAAAACCATTCGACGCAACAAAAGCTGATTTAAAAATATGAGTGAGAGAATCCCATAAGGCCTCTAGGAATATTGAAACTGTGGGTAGAACCACAAATATACTATGGGGTGACCCTAATGAGAACAAGACGAGAAATCTCCTCAAAACGAGCAAGTCTGAAATTAGTATATTCTGAGTTTATTACTTAATTGTTTGTAGGGATACGGTTTTTGAAGACGTTTAAATTTCAATTTTTACACAAGTAATTTTATATAAACATATTTTTATTATTAATAATTTAATTTTCTTTCGTTTTAAACAATGAGCAAGAAAAAAGTAAGAGATGTGGACATTTTTCAACGTACACTATGCTGTAATCCCATACGTGATAAAGAGGACGAGATTGAGATTTTTGAATCCGAAACGACAGACTTTGAAGAAGAAGCGGAAGAAGTAATAAAATCAGAAGAGGAAAAACTTGATATAAAACAGCTAATGGAAGAGTTGGATTGCATGAAACGACGTATTCAATTGATGCAACTGCGCCTAAAACTACCAACAGACGAATGTCCCGAAGAGGAATGTCTTAATTATGAAGTATTGCTTAATTGCTCCCAAAATAAGGAAATCTGTACAATGCAAAAGAATCAACACATGCTGCAGTGTCAAATCAAGGAACTAGTCAAATGCTACAAAAATGCTAAAGAGCAAATACAAGATTTGCAGTTGAATATTTGGGAGAAAAACAAAGAAATATTAGAATTGAGAGAATTGGTTAAAACTCTGATGGAATGGAAGAATACATTGGATGACGAGTTTGGAAAATGTCTTGAACGTTTTGAGTATTTAAAACATGTTAAAGCTGAATGGCGGGATGTAAATGAAAAAATGGAGAAGCAAAATAAATGCTATGGCACTTTTAAGGAATCTTTTGTTGCTAAAGCATGTTTCCAGCAAGATAAAAAATCGTTCATTGACGCTATTAATGAAATCAAAGAAATGTTAAGAGAACTTTGCCAATATTAATTTGAGCGTTTTGCTAGTCTAGAGCACCATTTACAAAAGGGAGATTAAACAAATACTCTAGAGGCCAATGATTTATGAAAATGAATTGAAGTGAAACTTTTTATTTTAAAACGAATTTATTGAATTTTTTTTTTTTGGATTTTATTTTTGTTCTAATTAACTTTTGAATTAAATTTGTTAAGTATTTTTTTGTAGGTTTTTTTTTCTTTTTTTGTTTTTTCATTTATACATTTATTGCAGGCCATAATAATTAAAATCTTTTAAGTACTTTATCCAGTGGAGTATAGAACATGGCTTTTGGTTGCTTTGGTCACAAATAAAATCTTATAGCTTCTCAAGGAGGAGGGTTTTGTTATATTTTCTTTTATTATTTTATTATTATAGCCTCATAAGGTTCACTTTGAGTATTTGCCGTTATTCGGTGGTAACTTTCTTTGACTATAAAAATATTTTATTTTTAATTTTATTCATTATATCTTTAGGCATTTTCATAAGCGGTTTTATGTCCTCTTTTTTTCAACCATTTCAGTTTTTTCCAGCATATAGGCATATGCTTTACTTTTTAACACCAACTACCCCTAAATGTATGCTTTTATATTTTTGCTTGTTCATGTCTGATGGTGTATTAGAATCTGTGTCTATATGTTTCAATGTATGTGTGCCTGTATTTATTAAATTTGTTTACCATGGCAATTACCATTGGAAAATGTCTTTCAATTAAGATTATTAGAGCTTGAACAGTTTATTTGACTTTTGTGGGACATTTAAGAAGTGCAATAATAATTAGGATTTTAGGGACCACTGATTTTATGTATATAGCTGTGTATACATATACACACTTAAACTGTTAAGAATTTTACATTTTTGATGTCTAGTGAATGATGTGTAAAGACTTTAATTAAGTCAATCCTTAAATTTTCTTTTATTTAACTTTTGAAGAAATTTGATATAGAAATAAAATGTAAATCTTTAAAACTTATTAAATGTTAGGTCTAATTTATAATAAAGATTTAAATTTGTAAATGTTTTGTACATTTCGAACAAGAGGTTTATTTAATTTATTAAAGCACAACTAAGATAAAAACCTTAAACTATACCGATGAAATTGGATTAGAATAAATATGGCGCCTACAGGGCTTGACATTTTTACCGACAGCCAGAATGCAATTAGGGCGATATCAGAAGATGATAAAGTTAAATCTAAAACCGTATTGGATTGTAAAAAAACGCTAACCGAATACTTTCCCAGAGGTAAGGTTCACATCATATGGGTACCAGGCCATTCGAAAGTAGTCGGCAATGAAAGAGTGAATGCAATAGCTTTAAAGGGAAGAGATCTCGAGGTAGTTAACCTGACGAACGCAAAACCATATGATGCAACGAGGGCAGAATTAAAATCATGGGTGAGAGAAACCCATAAGACCTCTTGAAATAATGAAACCGTGGATAGAACAACAAAGATCCTATGGGGTGACCCTAACGAGAGCAGGACGAGAAGCCTCCACTGGGGTTAGTATGATGGTCCGTATTCTGATTACGGGCTCAGCTATACAAAATTGGACGTGCGGATTCAGACGAATGTAGAGCATGTAGAGAGGACAGTGAAGCTCTGGAGCACTTTCTTTGCCATTGTCAGGCTTTCACCAAAATTAGATCCAAATATCTTGGAAGTGATATTATTCCGGATATAATATCGCTCACGAACACTGATTGGAAAATTCTTAGGAATTACGTTCAGAAAACTGAGTTTCTGAATATCGGACGATAATACATTTAGTGAATACTATATATGGTTTTTGTTTTTACCAACAAACATTTTCCATGAAAAGAAGCGCACAACAGGCCCGATAGTGGCCTAGGTGTATTTCTTCGGATTTGATGTAGATACATCCTCCTATCAACCAGCATCAGTTTCGGATTCGATTAAGCCATGTCCGTCCATCTGTCTGTCTGGCTATAGATGTAAATCTTGCGCTCAAGTTACACAGAAAAAACTGAAAATGTGTTTTAATTATCAAATTGATTGTATCAAGCAAGTTTTGCACCTATCAACAAAATGATGATATCAATTATGAAATTTGTAAAAAAAATATTTTTTTTCCAATTAAAGAAATAATCAAAACAATTAACATCAGTAATTAAATTCAAAATTTAAAATTAGTTAATTCATTAATTGGATAAATTAAATATTTAATAAAATAAAACTTACATTTTAATTAGTTTATTAATCAAATAAATTGAACAGTTTGGTTAAAAATGTATTAAAAATCAATAAAGTCGATGATTGAAACAATCAAAGCATTAATTGAATGCTTACAACATTAAAGAATTCCTTTACCTTTAACAATGCGATAAGCACTCTCAAAAATATCTCTTTATTGTCACATTTGAACATATAAAATGATTTATACATTTTAAAATATTTATGAAACTTCAACTTCTTATGCCTAAAATATTATTGACTATTTGAGAATTATTTTCCGTTATAAATAATGAAATTATTTAAATAAAATACCAAAACAAAAAACCAAAATAAAAAAGTAGGCTGGAAAAACTTTTTCAGCCAATTAAAAAATTAATTGATTCAATTAAAAGCTTAATCAAATTTGTATACTTAGGATCAAAACAATGAGATAATTATGACAATTAAAAAATTGTTTAAATAAAAGTTAAAGAAAGAGTAAAACATGTTAATTGAAAATAAACTACCGATAATTTTTTCTGTGTAGTGAAAGCAAGTTTCAAGATATTTTAATGAAATTTATCCATATATGTTTTTGGGCCTAAAGGAGCTTAGGCCCCATATAACCGGACCTTACGATTTGGGCTTTTTAGCTCATAACTACGTCAAATATAGTTTTTAGCAATGATCGGTCCTCATTTGACCTCATTTGAATTTAACATCTATAATTGACTTATTAACGTTTTGATAACCATGAATCCTCCCTTCAACTTTTATGACGATCGAAACATATCCGCCATTACTTGATATAACTCCGAAAATTTGAGGTGATAAAGAGTTATAAAGATTCTTAAGTAATGGCAAGGAAATTTCGGTCCAAGCCTTTTTAGTTCCTCCAATTTAGGCTTCTTTTGTGTCATACTGTCTGCCTGACCTATACACATTACGAGAAAGAATATCCGAAACCTTTTCAATAATAAATAGATGAGAAGATTATGGAGGCCACTCCAAATTTTTACATTCAGGCTTCGAATCCACCCTTTTACAGCCCTGGCGGTATGGATCGGGGCATTATATTTTAGAAATATACACGGCAATGGTTCAAAGATATCCGAAAATGTGAAAAAAACTGTTTCCAGTATAGCATTACAATTATTACAATTCTTACTAGATGAAAGAAATTTAAGCTCACATGTTTCATAATACGAAATTGCCCCCACTACATCCCACATCCTCAACAACTATGCAAACGACTCCTTTCAAAAATCATAAAAATAATGATTATATCGATCTGGACCTTCTAAATTAAAAATCTTTTTCATCCGAAAAAAAACAAGATGTTGATATAGCTTTTTATAACCATGTGTTCACGTGCAAACTGAAGAGGTTTTCTCTTTGCGAGTGGCAATTGGAGTGGCTTTAATTAATTTTTTAATATTTCTAAAGCCTTGGCCCTTCTTACAATTCGTTTTACTATAGCTAGGCTTGCTGTAACACCCACTTTTTCTCTAATTTTTGCTACAGAATCACTTGACTTGGTGGCAAATTTTATGAAATCTCTTCTATCCGCTTTTGTTTTGACTCTATATGCAGTTTCATTTATGTTTTCCTAATATTCAAACAGTTTTCTTATAAAATTGCGAATAACATTCTGAATTTGCCCAATTTTTTTTTTGCAAATTCCTGTGATTTTGAACAGCTTCCAAAAACGCTTGAATTTTGCCATTTTATTCTTTAGTTAATGGCTTACCGCAACCTATTTGTTAAAAAATATATTGTCTATATTCACAGACAATAGAATATGAATGGATTTTACTCACTGCCAGCAGTAAACTGATTTTATTCTGATTGAACCTAATCAAGTGAGCCAAAAATATATAGCTAAAAAACGTAGTATGTTAGAAAAAAATTATTAAAAATCCGCTATTAGGTATTGCGCTCATTTTTGTCTCACTAGTGATACCTAAGACATCATGTTATTATTTAAAATTTTAATATTACTAATTAGTCCATTATTTTTTGAAAAAAATTAATTTGAATGTAAACAAAACAGTGAACCTACTTAAGTGAGAGGGAGTGTATGACCCTAAAGTCCATATAAATTTTGTTTGTTTTTAATTTAAATTTTAAATGCAGGAAAGCATAAAGAATCGGGTTTTTGGCCGTAACTAAAGATTTAGAAAATTTTAAAATCATATTCAGAAAAATGGTATCTCTTCCCAGGAATTTATTTTTGTCGTATAGTGTTCTTTGTTATTCAGGTGTCTAAGAATAGTTGTCATTTATTGATGTTAAAAATTATTATTATGAGGGAATAAATAAGGTGTAGTTATTGGTTTTGGCAATTCTGGCAAAGTGTATAATAAATCTGTGTCTATATCGTAAAAAAATGTTATAAGCCTAAAAGTATGCACTATTTCTTGTGTATGTATAACTGAACTTATAAATAAGTGTATTTGTATCTTTTACAGAAATAACTAACAAATGTTATCTAAATCCTAATACAGCAACCGAAAATCCCTGCTGCAAATGTCAATTTTCCCACCAAGATAAAATAAGACAGACACAAACAAGGTGCAAAAGGAAAATGTTGGTTGGCATTATTCGACATTTTTTTTTTTAAATCAGATTAACACTTATTTGTCTTTGAATAAAAAACCATAAAGACACCTACACAAACTCACATATTTACAGAAAACAATCAGAAAACCACAAAACGCACTGTTATAAAAACAAATAACTATTTACGAATTCATGATCATGATTACAATGACAGTCGCAATGACAATGACAACAGAACCATAAACGGAAATGAAAAACAAAGGACGTTAGTAGCAACAAAGCATTAATCGAAAGATAAGGATGCTTTACTACTTTACGACGAATTAACAATACATACATAGATAGATACGCACTTAGTAATTCACAGTAGTGTGGTGTTTAATATTATAAAACCCCTCAGCTCTTTTTTGCGCCATTGGTAACCCAACTACTTACTTGTACA